ACCGACGTGTTGCTTGTGCTGGTGGAGAGACGCACGTCCACAGAGGGGGTGCTCGTAAGGAACACCAATCCTAGATCCACCTGATACTTCTCTGCTTGGATGCTGGTTCTCCTTCAACTGGAACTTGTCGGAATTGCCACAGCTTCTTATGAAGAAGTCGCCTTTCTTCTTGATCAGTTTTCAAATGGACGACCCCTTTTAGTGGTGAGGAAATAATGACCGATTGTAGGAGCCGCTTGTCCGGTGATGAGCATACAGCCTATCCTAGTTTGATGAAGTGTGCTCCTATGTGCCAATGCAACGCTCTCGGAACTCATTATAGAAATCAGAGTCTAAGCTCAACAATAGCTGCAGTCCAGAGTAATTCATGATCGGACCCTGATTATGAAAAAAAGAACACCTGAGCAGTTTGCAACAACCACGCGAGCTACTAGCCTCTACGACTACATCTACCTAATACAACATTATCCTATTAGTCCAACGCTACTCAAGTGTAGCCCAACACTGAACTTCCGTGGAAAATTGTAATTTCCAGATTTCTTAAGCTCTAGAACAGCCTGTCCACGACTTGCAGTTGAAGGATTGACGACGTCGATAGTGAATCTCTGGACCCACTCGAAAGGCTCGTGTTGCATCAAGAAAAAGTTTTTGTACTTTGGGTTCTTCACGAAACTATCAATCGCATAATCGAGTAATCACCAGTGGTAGAACTAGTCACGAATAATTATCGCCATGAGTTATTTTGCTCACTGAACCCAGTGTATGCGGCGATCCTCCGGGATCTCCGCAGCTCATAGGAAGTAGATGGAACCAGTAAATTCACACCCACCCATGTCACTTACACATTCAAAATTGCACCGAAGGATTCATAATTTCAAAACACAATCGACTAATCTCTTTCCTTGAGTTGCAACCTCTAACACATTGTTATGAATCTCAACATACAAAAGATGACCAATTGCAGCTGACTTGGCAACTCGTTGTGACCAAAAACAGAAGAAGAACAAAAGAATACCCACTACGACAGAATCAAATGAATCTCTGAGCTAGCGGCAGTGCAATGGCATACAACCAAGAACCACTATTGCCCAAGGAAATCCACGACTAGAACGGAGAACATGGCTGCTCCGTAGACGTCCAGCTCCGCAAGCCGCAGCGTACACCACGCCGCACCTCCACAAGGACAAGAAGAAAAAAACACAAGGCCACAGCAAACCTAGCCCCGTTGAAGAGCAGTAACAGGATGAGAGGAGCGCAAAACACCAGCGGAAAGAAAAAAACGAACGACACTGTCTCTCTCCTTTGACCAGCCGACACTACCGTGGTTTTCGGAGCTCCAAAATATCGAAGGAAGAAAAAAGAAAAAGAGAGCAAGGAAGTGCTGCACCGCAACACTTTAACAGAGCAAAAAATAAACAACAAGGAGGAGGCTCCAGAGCACTCGGAGAAAATAAAAACAAAAAAAGGAGGAAAAGGAAATTCCTGAGCGCCCGGAGCTCGTGAAAACCCAAGAAATAAAAAACCAAACAAGAGAAGAAGAGAGTTTTGGTCGGGGGCGGCCTGGACCCATGTCCGTAGGGAGGCTCCCGGAATTCGGGGGCAGCCTCTTGCCCCCCAATCCATCTTTCTTTTATTTTTTTTTCTTTTCCTTTTTCTTTCTCCCCTTCTTTCTTTTCCTCCTTCTTTGACTTCCTTTTCTTTTTCTTTTTTTTGGATTGATTTGAATTAGTGATTCCATTTTAGCTCTCAACTAATTAAACTATAAGAGATCCAATCTTGTATTGAAATCCTATTTTTTTCTATTTATCTCAAAATCCCTACATTAATTCACTAGATTGGCAATTTTAAGCACCCTAAGTAAAATTTTGTACTAACAACTTAAATGAGTCAATTGTGTGACTCCTAGAGCTTTTGAGGCCTTGTGTACAAAAAATTTGAGAGATCATTGTACCATCTCTAGAAATCATTTTCAAATGAATGGCTTAGCTAAACGGGTTGTTTAGACTATTAAGCATGATTTTCAAAAGTATAGATTACATTATAGCAATTATTTTGATTAAGACTTAGTGTTGCAATGGATTATGCTGGATTGTTTTTTTAATAGATAGGCATCTTTGACATCTTATAGTCTTTACAAGTTGTTGTATGGATAAGAGCCAAGTTTACCAAATTGAGTATGTGAAGAGCTAATTCCAATTGTTGACTTAAATAACTTTAATATTTAGATTCAATGTCTATATAAGTGAGTAGATATCTTCAAGAAGGCAATGCCCATAGCTATAGAGAACTTATCTATTACTCGATATTGTGATGTTGTACAATATGCTTGCATTCTTAGTAGAGCTTATCAACCTTGGTTGTAGAGATCTTTTAGGGAAGATTATGTCTATTTGCAATGTGAGATATCCAATACACTTGATGTTAAAGTTGAGTCTATAATCCTTTATGTGAAGGATGTTTTGTTTAATGGTATTTTGTTGCTTGAAGGTAAAGATGGACATAAGTGTTGAGAATATTTAAAAAATTGTACTCCTTATGATCTTTCTATTGATAATTTTGTACATCTTAAATTGACAAATATACCAAATGGCATCTATTGTTTTGTATGTGGTAAGAAAAAAGAAGTTGCTACCATGCTATCATATAATCAATGCCAACATAAGTAGTGTATAGCATGCTTGACACCACTTCTTTCAATTATTTTTTTAAGAACTTAGATTTTTAATTATTTGAAGAAGTATTTAGTAATCCATTATCTATTAAAAAGGATTATTTTTTTTTCAGGTTTGCTATATGTTTTTGAAGTCTAATTGCTATAATATTGACTTAATTGTATACAATTTTTGTAAAAACTTCATTGTGGCATTCATCTTTGATTATATCTATATTGTCATTCAAATTGATTGGTAAGGTTCTTAATTAGATAGGAGATGATTTAAAAGTGTGTTGCTTATGCATTCTTATTTGGTTTTTGATTGCATACCTAATGATGATTTTTGGCATGAATCTATTGTATATGACAATCTTTATTCATACAAAAGTAGTCACGTAATATGGCATTGAGTGCCAATCATATTGATTAGATGTAATGTACTATAATTTAATAAGTTTTCATCTATTTAGTATTTTATATTAGTTAGCCTTATTAATATCAAGTGAGGTTTGAGGATTTAGGTAGGAAAATATCTTTGACCTGACATTCTTATCAAATCAAGTCTTATTGGTATTATTAAGAAAAAAAACTCATGGTTCTAAGATTGTGCTTAGCTATAGTGATTTAGTTGTTAAGTAAAGTTTAAACCTTTTTCTACACAATTGAACTCTTAGATTTTTTCTTTTTAGTGTAAAAAATAACTTCACTAAGTTATATTTAGATTTTTATCTTTTCTTTAAAATGTGTTATTTGTGTATTCTTATTTGGTTTTGATTGCATACTTAATAATAATTTTTGGTACTCAATTTGTTATATGAAAAAATCTCTATTTATACCATTTTAAAAAAGCTCTCTTATTTTTTAAAATTTTACATATATTTCTAGTTCTATTTTAATTATTTACCTTAATATTAATTTCTTTTCTTATTAGCTCTTCTTTAAAAAATTTATCATCATAACTTTTTTCTTATCACCATGTTTGCTGTTAAATTTATTTTTCTAAAAAAACTTTAAATATTTTCTCTTTTTTTCATATTTTTATTTTTATTATATTTTTTAATAATAAATTCCTTTTATTCTTTCTTTTTCTAAAATTTATTTATCTTTTTAGCTCTATTCTTGTTACTTTTATTAATGTTAGTATTGTTTTTCTATTAATTTTTCTTGTTTTTCCTAATTTCTACAACTTTTTTTATCACTATGTTATTTCTAATAGATGTACTAATTCATGTATATTACTTATCTTTAGTTTTTTACATTATATTGCTCCTTATCTTAAAAAAATATATCTTTAAAAAAAATATCAACTTTCAAGACCAAATTTGATATTTGCCTATACCAAATCTTATTAATTTTATGTAAGTTTAATTATTAACTAGTCAATTTAATTTAAATATATAAATAGATATTTTAAAAAAATAATATCATCTTAAGTTAAATTTGATGTAAAATTATTAGGTGGAGTTTTTTTAATGTTATGTTGCATTTAAGTTTAAAATTCTTACTTCAACTCACTTTTACATATCACATCAGCAAGCATTAGTTGCCTTTATCTTTTTGATATGTTGTAAATCACTTTTAAGGCTCAATCTATTGAGGCCCAACATTGCTCATATATAAACTTACAGTAGGTATCAAGCTTATGGACTTAAAATATGTATTCAAAACTATGCACGGAAGTATGTATTAAGACTACAAATTGAAGGCTATAAAAAATCATATACTAATTAGCAATCTATACAGGCTAAAAAAATGCTCAAAATTGACCACATACTTTAGATGAATCTTAATGCTCCAAATTTCTTTGGCATAACAAATTACCTATATTACTAAAGTGCTGTTATAGGACCTCAAATCTCTATTTTTACGTTTTCATTCGGCAACTAGATTAACTTCAATAATAATGGTCTTGGCACGAATATGGGCTTCAGGTATAAACATGTGACTTGTGACACTATAAAATCACCATGGATTAAGTGTTAACTCTCCGAGACATGAAAGTGTTTCAATGAATTGCATATGTGGCGGCAGAAAGAATGATGCACTGCAACGACGTGCTGAACGGACCCAACTAGTATCATCAATTTAAATTCCATTGACAAATCTCAGTTTCCATCAATTATGTTGTGGAAAATAGGCGTGATGGTAGCCACAGGCGATACTGATACTGGGCGTTATTGTGTTATGGAAAGTGTATACTCTCTCGAACAGGTGATAAAAAATGTCAGGTTTGATAAAGAAAAGATCTAGTGCGTTGAAAACTTTCATACATTGGAATTTGTTGACGAAGTGTTGTGTATAATTTGTGCACCCTTGCCAGATTGTCATGATGCGCGGAGCTTTGGTGTTCCATGAGAACCTTATCCCAAGTTACTTAAATGATTTCAACAATGATGCCAACATAAGAAGAATGTGTATTACTCCTAGTCCTGATACGTAATGAATCCGGAAGTGACAGTCATACACTTAAGTTCAATAATCAAGTGTTTTTTTTCTTCTTTTTTGGGATCCAGCCAAAACTCTATTTCGTTTCCTCTAGTGTGCTCGTTTGCTTCTTTTTTTTTGTAGGTGACGGCCAGTATAAATTATTCAACCCAATCATGAGCCTCGTTCCAGAGTGAAAATGATGCATTGAAGCACCAATCAATACAAGGAAAAATTGCGAGACCAAAGGTTGAATTAGGCGGCTACGCCAAAATGGTGTAAATTAATTGGCAGATTCGACTTTTGTTAGATGCGTCGGAAGAGTGGTAACAATTTCCATGGGATACTTGTCAATAAACTCAGACCAGCAGTTGGTTGAAGGACCTTCCTGCGAGGGTCTGAGAGACCTCCAAATGGCGCTGTTGCACTTGAATCCTGATCCTAGGGCGATCTGCCACACCCGGTCGCCGTGTTTAACACGGTTTTTGGCCTCCAAGTACGCCAGGACATACCACACGCTGCTGCTGGAGGTGTTGCCGAAGCGGTGCAGAGTCATGCGAGAAGGTTCCATGTGCCAATCGTTCAGACCAAGATTCTCGGCAACACTGTCCAGCAACGCCCTGCCTCCGGGATGAAAAGCGAAGTGAGACACCGCCTTCTTCAAGTTAGGCACGTAGGGCTTGATGGGCGGCTTTTGACTTGAATTCAGCTTGATATGAACGAAGTTGATTGCGAACTTGATCTTCTCACTCCAGGGCAGAATTTTGGGTGCCAGAGTGGTGATGTTATCCTTCAGAACATGACCAGCCACCTTCATGAGGTCCTTGGAGAGGGATATCCCGATGTGTCCCTGGTCGTCCTGGGTTGAGTGCACACACTTGAAGCTCGCATCGTCTGCTCCGTAGTGGGTGCGCACCAGATGTTGCAGCTCGTACTTGGCTCTCCATCTGTCCGCTGCAGGGGGACGAACAGGATCAAACCATGAGTATACCATCCACCATGGATACATGAGTATACCATGCACCATGTGTACATTGCGTAGGCCTATCAACAGCAAGTATGTAGGCAATTAAAAAAAAAGTTTCGACGTTAGATTACCTCTGCGATTGGAGAGGAGCACCGCGGCAGCTCCATTCCGGAAAAGAGTATTGCCTACCATCATGAAGCGGCTGTTGCCGGCGTAACCTAGCATGGCACTGAGGACCTCCGTTGACACCACAAGGGCGTAAGCGTTTCGTTTGAGCTTCAACATCTTGTCGGCCAAGTCAATAGCAATCAATCCAGCGCTGCACCCCATTCCACCCAAGTTGAAAACCTGGATGTCCTTCCTCATTTTGTAATGATTGATTACAATGGCTGCCAGGGAGGGAACGGGGCTGTACATGCTGCAGTTCACTATCAAGATGTCCACTTCCTGGGGCTTTACTGTCCCTTTGGCAAATAACTCGTCGGTGACACCGAAGATGGTAGCCTGAGCCTCCATGTGGCATGCATTGAAGGACCGGTCTACTGGCTCACTAAGTGTGGAAGGAGGAGCGTATGTCTCGTCCCCAAGGCCGGACAGATACAAGACTTTTTCCATGAAATCTAAGCTTTTTTCAGTAAAGAACCCAGTCTTTCTCGCCTTTTCCATGTACATCTTTTTGGAAACCTTAGTAGAGTCGTCAGGTTTCAAGCAAGCGAAATCCAATAGAAGAGTCGGACCAGGGACAAAAACGAAGTAGCAGGCGACCAATGTCAATGTCGCAGCCACCAAGCTCAGAAAGATGGTATAAGTATCCATGGTGGATGGTATACTCATGGTTTCGATGAAGTAGCGCATTGCTTGAGCATGTACCTTGTCGTAGAGACTGAAGAATGCCTGCGCAGCTACCACCAAAATCACCGGGAACATGGCCTTTGTCTTGAAATGTATGTACGCTGGCCCCAGCAATGCAGACGAAGGTTTCATGGCGGGTCCCTTGACGTCATTGCTATCATGATCATCTAGATGGACTTGGTCATTTCGGCAGCTCTTATTGATGTGATCAACCATGTTACCTTCCTCCACCTGAACCAGCTAGTCCGGGACGAAGAGACCACCCGAGTACTGTGGAAAAACAATGCAAGCTGACAAACTTAGAGCAGGAACTACAAACGAAACAGCGAAATCCCATGATCCCATAAAACACGGTAGAACATGTTGATACCCAGACCAGGAACATTGATGCATCCATGTCGGATAAACACGAACTGATCACCCCAGTGCGAATGCAGTATCGTACCTACGAGTGAGCCAAAAACCTCCACTTGATCGACTAGATCCGAAGGGGACGACACCGCCAGTGGGGAACTGAGGCCTGGATACCCGAGGCGGAGCTACAGCACGGCACACCCAGGCAGCGGTGGTGAGGATTGCCGAGGGCAGAGGACTTTCATAGTTTCGAAGCAGGCAACAGGCAGCTCAAACCCACGACCCACCCCAGATGGAGGAGAGTAGTAGTAGTAGCGCAGGATATGCGGAGTCCAGGCAGACAAGCTTCATTGCGTTCATGAGGGCATTGGTGGAGCCCATTAATCTCCCTGACTGGTGCTCATTATTAGCGGGGGGTTTTGATCCTGTAATGAAGTACTGGTGATCTCCATCAAAAGAAGCTGGAGTTATGAAGTGTGGGGCGATGCGTTTGTCTGGGTCCCCACGACTGGAATCTAATCTCAGGGGGGCCATGATCTGCACCATGCACAATACACACAATGTCCCTCCCTCCCTCATGAGCCCGTTCATGCAGGCAAGGAGGCCTCTCTAAACGTACTAAGTTACTACTCTCATGTGATCTGGTACTTGGGTGCACGTAGCTTACTATTCTGGCCCCTTGCATGAGATCCAGTTGAGAGTTTTCTGGGCACCCTCTGCAACAGCTTTCATGTATCTTACAGCCCCTGTAACTAACTGCACCCCGTGCAGTGCAGTGCCTGTTCCTATGCCTGTTACCCTTTTCTTTTCTTTTCTTTTCTCTCTCACACTCTCTCTCACTTTCTTTTTTTCTTTTTTTGTTGTTTTATTTTTGTACTCACCAATCCTGACTGAGCCATGCAGATTATGTTTCAGCTCCAACTACCAATTGAGTGTAGGGCAGAGCATTTCCTCGCTGCTCTTCAATGCAGGGTTGCACTTTTACCCTGGCGTGCAGGTATTACCACTAAATAGTCCATGAAGTATGTGACAGACCTGTTGTTCTGCTTGAATGTACATGACAAGTTCCTTATTTTTTTGTATTTTAAAAATCACATTATGAAAAACTAAATAAAATACATGGCTTTGATTTTGCATTTTTTTCAAAATTTTGCATGTGTCTTTAATTACTTTGAAAACTTCTTGGATTATATTGCTTAATGAAGGTATGACAAATTGAATTGGTAGCTAGAAGATTGTAGCAATTTAGATATTCTTTTAAAATAAAATAAAAAAGCATCAGATATTCTGGGTAATAAACAATTTCATTACAGGTGAATGAAGGCAACAAGTGATTGTACGAAAATCCATGAAATAGAAATAAAAACCACTCAAAAAAAGAATTATGACAATGAAGAAAATTACAATGTTTTTCTGGAAAAATTAATAATGCAATATTATTCTGCTTATTTTGTCATATAAGTTTGATCCTTGTTTCTAATGAGGTAATTTGGTTTTGATTGAACATACCTTTAAATATAGACTTTTAAAATAAAATATTTAAAATTTAAGATATAAGTTCTCAATATTATTTTTAAAATTTTATTAAAATAACTAGTAAAACAAAATTTTAAATTTTTTTATACTTTTTTTATAAAGAAATTCTAAAAGCATTGTAATTATTGATATGAGGGGATTTTTATATCCAGAAGTCTTGTTTGAAAGGCTATGGTTTAAAAGCATCAATCAAATTCTTTTTCTTAGTAAAGTAAAACTATTTTTTAGAAGCTTTGGTCATTGAATATAACATATAGGAAGAACAATCCATCAATTAAACCAAATCATGCTTTTATTACAAGTAAAATTATGCAAAAGAAAAACTGTGCAGTCACTTGTTCTTTAGTATCCTAGGTATTTTTGATGGAAAAAAAAAAGTTGGCAAATAATCTTATTAAAAACCAAAGACAATTTTGAATTTTATCAAAAGTAGAAGCAATTTTTTTAGAAAGTGTTCTGTAAAAACGTTCTATAATAAAAATACCACAAAAGCAACCACATACTGCATGAGGTAGGTATTTTCCCATCTACTTTGAATCACATTTTGAACTGCAATAAGTGTTGTAATTTCTTTAATAATATTATAAAAATACAATGAAATCCTAAGAAAAAAATTATGTTTCTATTAAAGTTTGTGGAAAATTGTATAAACCTGCAGTTTTGTTTGGATTAAATTTTAGAAAGCTAAAAGGCAAGGAAGACACTTTGAAGTAAATATTATAAACTCTTTTCTTCTTTTTAAAAAAAATCAAACAAGCCTCTTAATCAAGAGTTATATATATAATCATTGTGATTTTAGTTGATTTTTTTTTAGAAGTAAATAGATAAATAAATAAAATGTTGTAGGCAATTGTTATTTTTTCTATTGTATTCGATATATAATATACATATTATTTGAATATAGTGTTTTTTAATAATTTTTACACCAAAAATTAAGTGAAATAAAGAGTGATTTTCAAAATCATATCTATACATATATATTATTAGTTTTAAAAATAAGAATAAAATTGAGTTACTAAAATATCTGAAATTCTAAAACATATTCAAAACCAATATTTACTGGAGCCTAATCAAAATAAGATAAAAAATTAAAATAGAATTTCCAAAACCTTTAAATCCTTTCAAGAAGAATTATATATGAAGATTTGTTTTGCAAATTTAAAGTTTTTTTGAAAAATACTTTTAAGAGTTGAACCACAACAGTTAAAATAATATTAGTCTCTGATTACACAACTTGCTAGAAAGCAATTACACAAGGAATTCAGCATACATAGTTCCAATATTCTTTGCAAATATTGAAGATGAGTTTTTTGAAATGCATGCATTGATTCTTAAATTTTGATGATATAATAATAAATGTATAATATCTTTTTAATAATAAATCGTAATATCCTTATTTATATCAAAGAGATAAAAATAATACCTTGACATTTCTTGAAGAGGATGTTATCTGTCAAGTAAGAAAGTAAAAAAAAATAAAGTAGTCATTCTATAGAAATTTGTCTGAAGTTTCAAATAAACAAGAATTTTTATCACTACACAGGAAAAATGATAGAAACCATTGCCAAAACTTTGTAACTTAAATATAATTTACTGCAAATTTCTCCAAGTATTTTGATAAAGTTAGATCACTGCAAAAAACTAGCACACATTATGTCAACTGAAAATTTTAGTACAACCAGTGAAAATTCAAGTATGTTTTTCAGTGAAATTTAAACAATAGATATTGTGATTATTTTATTTTATTTTATTTTTAATTAATTGGTGACCACGTCACTTAGCTTATATTAATCTAATGTGCATGTATGTATGTGGAGCTTACGTGAACAATTTGGGGTTTTATATCTAGAAGCATATTTTGAAAGACTATGATCTAGAAGTACAATGAAGTTCCCCTATTTGGAGGAAAAAAGAAATGGTTCTTTGAAAGTCTTGGTTTTTGAAGATTGTATGAAGTGAAAATAGGTTTCTCATTTGGAGAAGAAAATTTGTGGTTTCAAAACCACTTCCTTAGAATAATTTGGCTCATGTGATTGCCTCCTCTAACTTTATTTGTTTTACACTTCCTTTTTATTTGTAAATAGAACAAAGTAGAGGAGGCAATAACATGAGCCAAATTACGTGTGATTTTAAATATGTCACATCATACTTTAATTGTGACAATAATATAAAAAAAACTATACATTTTTTTTTCAAATCTTAAATAGACATTTTTTTCAACATTAAATTTTCTGTATAAAATCGCTCTTGAGGATAATCCAACACAAATTTAGGAGGAAAATATTATTTGTGATGTGTAGAAAACAAATACATTCCATCTCACCTATTTTTCTCATGAATCTATTGAATAATTTTCCCAAGTGTAAATTACACACACACACATCATGTGATTAATTTTACACATTGATCCCAACATAGTTGCATTACGCCCTTGCATGTGTTCATTTGTCTAATTGGAAGTACTTTTGTTTTGTTTGCACATCCAGCCTTCTGCCAGTGATGCCTTTTCTGTGTTCACCACCTGAAGCCAGAGGTTGTGCATGTCCATTTTGAAGTTGTTCATTGAATGGTGCCATGAATAAAATACTCTTGAAATCAAATTATGTATATATATACATATATATACAAAGAAAGAAAAAGTTGATGAAATAAGTAGAAAGAAAACAGTATGAGAAGTATCCACCATGTTTTTTTTTTTTTTTTTTTTTTTGATTTTTTGATATTTTTGTGTCTGTGAAGCATTCCAATTTTTGTTTTGTGAAATCTCCACTCTCTCTTTATGTTTGTTTCGTAGTTTTTGCATTCTTTTTCACCTTTTTCACCTTTTTCACCTTTTCGTTTTTGTCATTTTTCTTCGAGAGGACAGGTAGAAAGCAAACTTTTATGAGAGAGAGAGAGAGAGAGAGAATATTAGAGAGATATGTGGGTTGTGATGGCACTGTCCAAAAGCAGCCAGTGAGCGGAAGGGCAGCACTCTGTGTGCAGCATCTGAGCAGCAGCAGCAGAGATGGATGAATGAAGTAATGGATGAATGAACGGAAGCCCCTTTATCATCACCACTTATGCCTTTCTGACTCCACAAAAGGCCTCTCTGGGAGACTTCAATGCTGTGTCCAGGCCACTGGCACTGCCCTCTGTCCCTCACTCCCTCCTCTCCCTCATATCCTATCCTTTTCTACACCTTGTGTTTTATCCCCCCCCTCCCTCCCTTGTTCCTGTATCTAAGCACCCACCAGAAATGGCCATCCATTGTGCTGTCAAATGCATCATGAGAAAGAGACTAGCAATGATCCACATGTTATAATTCAAAAGGGGGGGGGGGCATAGAATGTTGCACAGTGCAGTCATCAAGAGAGATAGAAGATTAAATGCTGGACATGTTGTCATCCAGGCACACCACAAAGGTGCTTCATACCTGGACATTAATGGAGATGATAGAATGATGAAAGATTACCCTTGCCCAAAATTAGCTAATAGCCAATGGAGGGCTGCAAATGTTATTGTTACCACATGTTGAAAATAAAGTTATTTAAAGAGAGGCTAGGATTATCACAAATGCTATTATCAAGGAGATGAATAAAATAAACATAACATAAAGTATATAAGTTTTTAATGATATATAGACTATAACTTTTAAAAATAATTGCATGAATAACATGATATATATATATATATATATATATATATATGTGTGTAGGAAGATGCTAAATCAATCCTACTAGCCATTAATTTGATCCACCCATCATAACTAACATTGCATCTTGCATTATCCATTTCTAATTTCCTTGTTCTCTAGCTTAATCTTCTCATCCTTCATTTCTA